TGTGTGTGTGTGTGTATATATATATATATATATATATATATATACATCCCTTTGTATATACCATATTTCTTTATCCATTCATCTGTGGATGGGCATCTGGGCTCTTTCCATATAAAATAAAAAATTTTAAGTCAAACCATCATAAGTTGGGGACCGTCCGAATATGCATACTATACTACAATTTGCAAATATTTTTGACTATATCTCTTTGTATATATATATATTTTTAATTTTAGTGGCTGCTGTGGATATTACATTATGTATATGACATAACTCATCACGGTCTATTGGCATTGACATTTTACCTCTTTGATTGATATGTAAACCTTAACCCCATTTGGTCCTTCACTCTCCCCAGTTATAATACAATTGTCTTAAATATTTCCTCTACATACATTGAGAACTACATCAGTGTTTTGGTTGTTGGTTCAACTGTCAATATAATTTAAACCAACTTGAGAGAAGAAAGATACTGTCCTACATTTACTTGTAATTTTACACTTTGAATTGTTCTTTATTCCTGATATTCCAAGTTGCCTTCTTTGATTATTTCCTTTTTGTTTAATGAAATTCTATTAGCCATTCTTTAAGACTAGGTTTGCTGGAAACAATTGTTTTTTCTTTCACCTGAGACTACATTTCACCTTCATTCCTGAAGAATATTTTCACTATATAGAATTCTGGGGTGGGGTGCGCGCCTGGGTGGCTCAGATGGTTAAGCATCTGCCTTCAGCTCAGGTCGTGATCCCGGGGTCCTGGGATCAAGACCCACATCAGGGTCCCTGCTTCTTGGGGAGCCTGCTTCTCCCTCTGCCTCTGCCTCTCTCTCTCTCACTGTCTCTCATGAATAAATAAATAAAATCTTAAAAAAAATTAGAATTCTGGGTTGGAAGTTTTTTTCTTTTAGCACTTGAAAAATGTGCCACTTCTTTCTGGCCTTCATGGTTTCTTTTACTTTTGTTTTGGCCTTCATGGTTTCTGATGAATAATCTATTGCCATTCAAACCATAGTTTCCCTATAGGTAATGTGTCATTCTCTACCTGCTTTCAAGATTTTTTCTTCGTCATTTTTTTCTTTTTCTTTTTGGAAGTTTGATTATGATGTTTTCTGGTGTAGTTTTCTATTTTCTTTCTCTCTTTCTTCTTCCTTCCTTCCTTCCTTTCTTTCTCTCTCTCTCTCTTTGCTTTTATATGTACAACTCTTAAAAACATTTTTTTGCATGTTTTTTCCAGCTTTATTGAGATATAATTGACACATAATATTGTGTAAGTTTAAGGTGTACAACATGTTGATTTGATACATTTAAAAGTTGCAAAATGATTGCCACCATAATATTAGCTACCACTTCCATCTTGTAGTTACCTATACTTTTTTTGTAATGAAAAGATTTAACATCTATTCTCTTAGCAACATTCAAGTATATGATACAGTATTATTAGCTATAATCACTTGTTTTACATTATATTGCCAAACTTATTAATCTTATAACTGGAAGTTGTGCCCTTTGACCAGTATCTCCTCATTTTTCCACCCCCCAACTCCTGGTAACCACTAGCTACTCTCTGTTTCTGAGTTTGTCTTTTTTAGATTCCAGATACAAGTAACATTATACAGCATTTGTTTTTCTCTGTCTGACTTATTTCACTTATCATAATGCCCTCAAGGTCCATCCAAGTTGTCACAAATGGAAGGAATTCCTTCTTTCTCATGGCTGAATAATATTCATATGGTCTTCTTTATCCATTCATCTATTGATGGACACTTAGGAATTGGGAGTAATGCTGCAATGAACATGAATGTGCAGACATCTCTGCAAGATCCTGATTTCAATTCCTTTGGATATATACCCAAAGGTGAGATTGCTGGATCCATATGGTAGTCCTATTTTTAATTTTTTGAGGAAACGCCATACTGTTTTCCATAGTGGCTGTACCAATTTGTGTTCCCACCAAGAGTGCACTAGGGTTTTTTTTCTTCCTCTACATTTTTGCCAATATTGTTATCTCTTATCTTCTTGATTATAGCTATCCTGACTGGCGTGAGGTGATATCTCATTGTGGCTTGATTTCCTTTTCCCTAATGATTAGTGATGATTAGTACCTTTTCATGTACCTGTTAGCCATCTGTGTGTCTGGACAACTGTATATTCTAGCTCCTCTGTCAATGTTTAAATTAAGTTGTTATGTTTTTGCTGTTGAGTTGTAAGTCCTTTTTATAAATTTTAGATATAGGTGGCTAACAACATAAAAAAAAGAAAGAGAAAGAGAAAAAAAATAAATTTTAGATATACCCCTTATCAGTTATATGATTTGCAATTATTTTTCCCATACTGTAGGCTACCTTTTCATTTTGTTAATTGTTTCTTTTGCTGTGAGAAGCTCTTTAGTTTGATGTGGTCCCATTTATTTATTTTTGTTCTTGTTGCTTGTGCTTTGTTGTCACATCCAGAAAATTGCTGCTGAGACCAATGTCAAAGAACTTTATCCCTAGGAGGAGTTTTCTTAGGAGTTTTACAGTTTCGGGTCTTAAACTTTAGTCTTTAATTCATTTTAAATTCATTTTTGTGAAGTGATGAATTGGTGTGGTTTTCTTTGGGTTTATCTTGTTTGAGGTTGACTTATCTTCTTAAATCTGTAGATTTATCCCTTTCACCAAATTTAGGTAATTTTGATCTATTATTTCTTCTAATTTTTAGTCCCACACTCTCTTCTTCTTTTGGGACTCTGATCACATGAATGATAGCTCTTTGGTAGTCCTACAGGATCTTGAAGCTCTCTTTCTCTCTTTTTTTTTTTTTCATTTTTCAGCCTATTTTCTCTGTCACTGAGATTGGATAATTTCTATTGACCTACTTTTGAGTTCACTGATTCTTTATTCTGTCATTTCCATTCTGCTATTGAACCTATCCAGTGAATTTTATATTTTTCAATTCTAAAATTTAATTCTATAACTGTTTATTAAATTATGAGTTCAAAAATTTCCACTGAATTCTTCTTTACATCTTCTATTTCTTTGCCAAGACTTTCTATTTTTTCAAGTGCATTTGTAATTTCTTGTTGAAGCATTTTTATAGTGTCTTTAAATTCTCTGTCAGAAAATCCCTAAATCTGTATCATTTCAGTGTTAGTATTGTGTCTTTTTTCATTCAAGCTGAGATTTTCCTGGTTCTTGGTATGATGAGTAATTTTTTATTGTGTGCTAGACACTTGGAGCATGTGTTATGAGACTCTGGATCTTATTCAAATCTGCTATTATAGCAGGTCTCTGCTAATACTGCACCAGTGAAATAAGTGTGTGTGTAGGGGGTGTTATCTCCTCACCACGAGGTCCAGGTAGAAGTCCAATTTGCCAATTTTCTTATTCCAGGATGGTTCGCTAAAGTAGGGTGGATTGTCAAAAAATATTTCTGCCTTGCTAGGTCATATCTTTATCTTTTTCTTCGTCCTTGGGATAAAGAAAGCAGGTTTGGGGGGAGCTATTTTTTTGCCTGCACCTGTTGGCATTTCTCAGTTGCAGACTTTCCAGTGCCCAATCTGAGATAAATAGGAGGCAAAAAGAAAACCCAAGAACTTACCACAGTGTCAATCCTTAAGTTCTGAGGACTGTAGCTACTCTGCCTTCTTCTCTCCACTTTTTTGACTTTTTTAAAAAAATGTAAAATATATATTATGCCCAGATACTTTAGTAATACTTAGCAGGAGCAATAAGGAGAAATGAATCTACTCCATTTGACAAAGAACTAAAAATCCTACTTTAATGCAGTGGTTGGCCTAGTGGGTCTTGAAAGCTGCTACCTGTTTTGATTCTGTAATTGGAAGAGTCAAGGAGGGATAATTTGTCTTTTTGTCTCCAGCAATGACTGTGTAGGGAGAGTACTTTGGTTTTTTATGTAGCAAATGTTTTGCTCTGAATAAATCAATAAGTTAACATTTACCTAAAAGTAGTAGAATTAGTATATGACACAGGGCCTGGAGAGTTCCTGACCAGGCTAATGTTCTACATCTCTTTTGAAAGCTATGCAATTAAAGAGCAACTGTAGTTTATTCCTTGTTAATTGGTATGCTTCCTGTATTTCCCTATGACCTCTCTGGTACTGGCCTTTACTGTATACACTTATGCTGTATATTCCTAAATTGGGTGAAGCTCTTTTAAGAGAGCAGGAAACAGCTCCTCTACATCCTTCTTTGCTTACAGGTGCCTCCTGAACAGTCTTACACCCTGTAGAGGGTCACAAATCTCTGATACAATTATTCTTTCTCCTGTGAGTCTGGGTAGCATAAGCTAGTCCTCCTTAGGTGCAGCCACCCTGCTTTCAGATCTTGAAGAGTAGCCATGGACTATGAGAGATAGCATCTTCCCAGGGCAGACCTGTCTTTAAAAAGCACTGAGCTCAACGAGAAGACCCACAGTGGCTACCCAACCCACCAGGAGCTGTTAATGGAAATCTCTTCCCAGGATCTTTGTGTTTGGGTCTCACCTCACCATTTTAAGCCATAAACCAGAGAGTTCACATCTTTATTGGTTGCTAGCCATTCCTCTATGACTTTCACCTATCCACCCACCCTTCTCCCAATAAATACATTTGTTTATGAATGAAATAGAATGAATGAACTTGGAAACTACAAAGGTGCCTGGAAACCCAGAAATTCTCATGAATTGCACATTTATTGACTGAGGATGTACCGGGGTTGGGAGGTAGTTGTATAGAAACCAAAGATGAAAAACTACAGAACAAGAGGCAGCCCCAGAGCTCAGTGGCTCAGGTGTTAACACCTGAAGGATTTGGGAACCTCAGGGCAATACCATGAGAGAGCTAAGCCCATTGGCGCCCACGGAGAACACCTCCATCTCTTCTTCTCCGCGGCCTTTAACGGACCTTATTTGCTTGGCCAGGTAGGCGCCTGCTTCTGCTGGGTCTGGTGGCAGATCGGGACGCCCTTGCCACCCCCAGAGGAACCGCCACCCCCACCGCTGGAGAAGCAGCCCCCGCCACCCCCGGAGGAGCCGCCGCCGCAGCCGGAGCCGCCGCCGCCCCCACCACCGCTGGAGAAGCAGCCCCCGCTGCCACCGGACGAGCAGCCGCCGCCGCCGCCGCCGCCTCCGCCGCCGCCGCAGCTGGAGAAACAGCCCCCGCCGCCCCCGGAGGAGCCGCCGACGCAACTGCCTCCGGAGGATCCCCCTCCGTAGCTCTGCTGGGGCACGCACGAGGTCGGGGTGGTCTGCTGAGAGAAGTAGCCGGAGCCGCCGCCGGAGGAGCCCCCGCCGCAGCCGGAGCTTCCACTAGAGGAGCCGCCACCGCAGCCGGAGCTGCCGCCGCCCCCGGAGGAGCCACCACCCCCGCAGCCCCCGCTAGAGACGCCTCCGTAGCTCTGGCACTGGACCTGCTGACCGGAGTCGCCGCCGCCGCCGCCGCCGCCGCCGCCACCGGAGTAGCAGCCACTGCTGCCGCAGGAGGAGCCGCCGCCGCCCCCGGAATAGCCACCCCCGCAGCCGGAGCCGCTGCGGCCGCCGCCTCCGGAGCTGCCACCACCCCCAGAGTACTTGATACTCCCACCGGAATCTCCTCCGCAGCCTCCGGAGCCGCCGCCGCAGCCGGAGCCTTCGCCGCCACCAGAGTAGCCTCCGCAGCCAGAGCTGCTGCCGCCCGCGGAATACTTGACGCTCACTCCCGAGCCGCCGCCGCCGCTATGAAAGCCACAGCCGCCGGAGCCGCCGCCGCAGCCCGAGCTGCCGCCGCCGCTATGGAAGCCACAGCCGCCGGAGCCGCCGCCGCCGCCCGAGCTGCCGCCACCGCTATGGAAGCCACAGCCGCCGGAGCCGCCGCCGCCGCCGCCGCCGCCGCCGCCGCCGCCACCCGAGTTCTTCCCGCAACCCACTGGGGGCATGGGGGTGGGCTGCTTTTTCTGGTGAGACATCTCGTCTAAGGAGGAATGGAACCCTGTAAGGAGAGCAGAGAGCATCACTGGACCAGCCATAAGAGGATGCAGCGGAGGAGGCAGTTGCAGCCATGGAAACGCCCATCAGCCTCAGAGCAGCACTGCCTGGGTCCAGCTTGATGCCTCCGTTGAGATCTAGGAGAGCTCGCAGGTGGGACTCCTAGGATTAGTGCTTTGGAAGAGTTGCACTCCCCCTCAGAAAGTCTTTACCAAGCTTTAAGTAGCTCAGTATGTTGCCCATTTTTCTCTCCCAGCTCCGCCTCTGGCATCTGCTGTCTGATTTGGCAGCAAATGACCCACACTCCCTCCTCTGTCCTCGACTTCCTGTAAAATGAGAGGGTTAGAGCACTTCATCTCTCAGGTCTCCAATCCCAACATGGATTCTCTGAGTGCAAATAGAAATTAGCACAAACCTCCACCTAAGTGGGGGATTTTACCCATCCTTGGCACAACAGAGGGAGGTTTGTCTGAATGTCAGAGGTTGTTGCTCCCCACCCCACATTCTCTGCAAAAGTTCTTAGTTCAGGGGTGCCTGGGTGGGTGGCTCAGTCAGTTAAGTGTTAGACTCTTGATTTCGGCTCAGGTCATGATCTCAGAGTTGATAGATCAGACTCAGAGGTAGGCTCCTCCTTCAGCAGTGAGTCTGCTTAAGATTCTCTCTCTCTCTCTCTCTCTCTCTCTCTCTCTCTCTCTCTGCCCCTCCCTCCTAAAATAAATCTTTAAGGGGAAAGAAAAAAAGCTCTTAGTTCAAACTCTTGGTCTGAGCCTAGCCATGATACCAGGGCTAGTTAACAGAAAAGCCCTCACCCCTCCCCCATCCTGTCTGGACATAGGGGAAGGGACCCAGTGGTCCTTTGGACCAGCATCTCTGACCAAAGATGTAGGCTTTGCTTACATCTAAGCTTGGTTGAGGGGACCATTACTAGTAGGAAGTTGTGTCCCAGCATCTCATACAATTTGTTTCTCAGAACATCTCTGAAAAACTGGCACCGGGTTCCTGTGGTTCCCCAAATCTCCCCCATCTGCAGCAGTCTCGGAATTACTCTCCCTGTTCTCCCTTACTCTCTGGAAGTAAGACTCAGCCTCTCCTCCCGACAGGTGCAAGAGATCCATCCTGCCCACTCGCAGGGGCAGTCTGCCAAATGTCCCTCTGTGCCGATCACTGGCCTGGCCCCTACTGGGATGCCAGAGAGACAAGAGGTAGTCTTGCCTTTGTGGAGTTCCCATTCTGGCCAGAAAACCAGAGACACCATCTGCACAGCAGCAGCTTAGCTCCCAACTTCCAACCTAAATTCCCTCTAAACATGAATGCAGTTGGAAAGACAGAGGTCCTGTAGTTTCCAAAGAGGAGAGAGGCCTTGCAGGTCTGTCCCCTGGTCCACCTAGTCTGAGCAGGGCTGGGGAATACTAGTTGGGAAGACGAAAGCCAGGAGAACTCACACTTACCTGAAGCACCAGAGGCTGAGTGAGGAGAGGAAATGCTGGCTTCTGTGAAGAGCTCTGGAGCTCCCAAGGTTTTATACACTGAGCCCTGACTCATCTATTGATCTGAATCCGCCTCTCATGTTTGGACTCAGTTATGTGACCCATGGCTCTCGCCCCACCTGTCTGTTGATTACAGGCCAAGGGTGGCCCATTCATGAAGATTTTGGCATACTCGAGATGGGCAGCCTAGTGTGCATCTCTGAAGCAACTATGTGGCAGCGGGATGGCCAGCCAGAGTGGATGGCAGACATTGTTTCCAAAACCTCTGGCAAAGGGCGCATGTCAGGAGACCTAGGTCTCTGACTCTTGAGGTGGCCCAAGAGAGTCACACTGGAGATTTCAGTCCTTAGTCTGAGGAGTAGGACCTCCTGTTTGGCTTCTGATCCCATTGCTTGGAACTCTCAGAATTTTAGAGAGAACCTGTCCCTCTTTTGCCAAAAGTTTCTCCCCCAGGGTTTCATGTGTGCTTCACTGAACTGTTCTTGTCTTGAAACTAGTTTGAGAGAATGCGTGAGCCCCCAGTACCTAGTTCTGGGCTGCACACCATGGACAGGGCTGTAACTAATGGGACATGGGTATCTACTTGGATTTATTCCTGGAGATTTATTCCTCTGAAAAAAGTGTTGATTCTCACTTTCCATGCAAAGGAACAAGCTAAAGAGCTTGATCATGTGGTCCTTCCTACCATGGGCCTTTGGCCCTGGCATCCTGTGGTCTTGTGTGGCAACAGTGGCCTCAGCCTAAAAGGCAGCTGTGGAATGGAAGGGACTTGAAGTTAGGTGACTGGATTTGGGTGCTCCCTATGCTACTTGTGAGCTGTGTCACCTTGGACAAAGTCACAGCACCTTGCCTGACATAGGAGGCACTCAGTATTTGTTGACTGATGAATGAATAGGCTTCTGATGACGAGTTACCTTGTCTATCACATAGGAATAGCAATATCTGTTTCATAGGCTTGGAAAAAGGGAATAGTTATAATAAACTGTAGAAGGTGATGCTGTTCTTTTTATTGTTTTCTCCTATTACAGCACAGTCTTACCTCCAACTTGGCCTGCCTTTGGACAGCAAGGCCAGAAGGGAGTCTATGGATAGCTAGAGGCAAGTTCTTCAGTAAGAAAATACTCAAAAATTCTCCATTGACACTGGACCAATAGCATCATTTCTGTGTATGAACAGCATGCTCCCCCTTCTTTCATCACAGGAACTCAATTGCTATTGTTTAAGATATGGCATTCGAACTTTGTTCTGCCCACCTATGTGTTGAAATGACAGCCCCAATAATAAATTGACTGTTAATTATGGTGGCTTAATGATCAAGTGATCCTGATTAGACTGTGGTCTTCAGAAACTTGTGGTGCTAGTTCTAGTTTGGATAGCACGAAGCCAGGCAAACCCACATGCTCCCCTCCTGAGAGAATAGCCAGAAGGGAAAAGCCAGGATCTGTTGAAGAAAGCAGGTTTCTCAGCTTGAAGGTGAAGCACCAGGGAGATTTTGAAGGGAAACAGGCTCCAACTAGATGATTGCCATGGGTATAACAAAGAATGGTTTTATTTAGTTGGGCAGCACTAGAGAAGGGGAGAAAGTGTAGACCATGTGCAGTTCCAGCACTGATCTGTGGACCCATGTTGATCCATTACTGTGTGTTCTCCAGTCTGGAGGAAAATGTTAGTAAAAGGATTTCAGCAGTGCATTCTTGAGAAGTCTTTAATTTTGAAATTATGGCCTTCCTACTTTTGTGTGTATTAAAAATGTCATTTCTTTTAAAAGTGATGGAAACTCCAGGAGGTTGTAGTTGTTTCTTTCAAGTCTTTGCTTTACCAAAAAAAAAAAAAAAAAAAAAAAAAAGGCTATAATAGAACAGTTACCATATTGTTTTGAGGGAGCTGTTATTACTCTATGAAATTCTGAAATTTGGGAACCTCAAGTGCAGGTGACCCCAAAGCCCCAAAGAGCTAATAATCTTCAAATTGCCCATGTCGATTTGGAGGGTTCACGTTTAAGGAAATACATGTCTGAGGGGAGATCACAGCTCTTGAGTTTGGGGAGCCCCAGTCTGAAAGAAGCCTGCTCATCACAATCTTTAAGTATCTAAAGCTACACACATGCATTCTTATGACTGAGTGCTAACAACCTACCTGAGGGTTAAAGGGCAGCAGGTGGTTTGTAAAGAATAAAATGGACACAGGGCAAGAGCTCAGGAGCATTGGCAGGGCAAGCAAAAAGCTTGGAAGCCCTTAGCATTGTTTACATTCAGTGGGAAAGTTTCCTCTTAGAGTCCTGCCCAGGAGATGCCTCAGAGCCTCAGGCACCACCCCCCACACACACCAGGCTACATTTTTGTCCTCTCTCCAGCCCTCCTGGGTTAGCAGTTGGAAGAGGTGGTTGTCTTTGTTAGAAGTCTAGGAGAAGGACAGCTCTGTAGTGGTTCACATCTGCTAGAATTACTTCTCCAGGAAGCTTCCTTAGATTCATCCACCCACTGGTTCCATCTTCTTTGACACTTTCCCTTTCCAAGTCCTTAAGGAACAACTGTACTAGTTACAGCCTGCTAATGACACATCCAACAGCCTTGTCTCCTTTTTCAAGTTATAACTGTTCTTGACAGCCAGGGCCCCATTAGTTCTTTATTCTACACCTTAAGATTTAAAGAGAGTTCATAACATCCTTTATCTGGACAAGTTGACTCTTGAATGACTCTTTTGGGTACTCCTGGAGCTCACCCTTGCAGGGAGAAGGAGGCTCACAGCTAAGTTCTATCACTCCTGAATAGCTTGTAGATGCATGCAAGATGAGCAGTGTGCGCAGGGACCTCACTTACTTGGCCCAGACACTTTCTGTGTGGACAGACTCTGGTGTTTATGGACTGCTTCCACATATGTGTTTTGTCCATTCCTCACAAGGGTCCTCTGTGGGGTGCCTGGTGTGGCTCAGTCACTTAAGTGTCTGCATTTGGCTCAAGTCATGATCTCAGGGTCTTGGGATCGAGCCCCACATCAGGCTCCCTGCTCCGTGGGGAATCTGTTTCTCCCTCTCCTCCCCACTTGTGCTCTCTTTCACTTTCTCTCTGTCTCAAATAAATAAAACCTTTAAACAACAACACAACAACAACAAAAACAAGGGTCATGTGTGTGCTCAGTGATATGTTATCCTCATTACCCAGGTAAGGAAGCAACCCATAGAGCTAATGAAATTGCTCAAATTTCCATGACCTTTAAGCGGCAAAGCCAGGATTCAGTCAGTTCTTTCGATTCCAAATCTCGCATTCTTTCCAGGTACTACATGACTCTTCCTTTTGAATCAATATAAGCAGAATGAGGGGATGACATTCCAGTCTGGCTCAGGCTGACACCCTCTTGGAGGCAGGGAACAGAGCTTGCTCTCATGGACCCTCCCAGCTGCTCAGGGACAGTTCTATTTACTGGTGGACTGCAGGAGCTGAGGGGACATGTAGAGGTCATTTGATCACCCTTACCATTGGTGAAGGTAGATGAAG